CGCAGCGATGGTGGAGAGGCAGAGAGATGGTAAGGGGTGCTGAGTATGCGCGTGGGGCGCAGTAGAAAAGAATCTATTTCATTATGCAGTATATCAGGCCCCCACCCCTTTTTCAGGGCTTGAATAACATCCACGCACGTGGGGGGGGGCATTGTGTGAAGAACAATGGCGACCCGTTGCCACGGTACCGGGGCCCGCTCGGCCTGGCGCTGTTAATTATCTTGACCATCGCAAACCCGGAACAGTAAACCTACAGCAGCACAGGATGAATTATGCAAGAAGGAGAGAGCGGTTAGATGCCCTGATTACTTAACTTTTCACGCGCTGACAACCTCTTCAGACACACCCCCCCCCCGAATTCCTGCTACACTCTGTCGCAGACGTACAGAGAAACCTGAGGCTTTATCACAGCGCCTGGCAAACACTGAATCTGGGAACGAGCATCTGCACACCCACTTTTGGGTACATTGTCCTACGGCATCCGCTATTTCCGGCCAAACTTTCCTCGGTTTTCCCACCTCCCGGGAAAGACGACCCGCGGACTGTGTGTCGGGAATGGGTGAGCTTGTTTTGCAATAGGAACTATTTGCATATTAAAAAGAAACATAAACCACCAAACCATATCCACACAATGTTAGTTTAGGCAATTTGTGCGGTTTAACTCTTAGCTGAAGGTCGGCACATAAATTCTGACTTTACAATCCCTTAATGTCCACAAGCAAATTATAAGACCAACCCCACCCCAACGGACCCCCCCCCTCCCCAACCGCACCCCAGGCCTCAACCCAAAGCCTAACAGTTGGGTTTCAAATGGAAAAACACCAACTAAATTTGTGGTCAAACGGTTTCTGAATGAATGATTATCTTGGCATCATGCTGGTTATAGTATGTGCAGCAAGCGCATGCAGCCCAGGCCTGCGGGGGGGGGGGATAATCAAACAAAAAAAAACCCCAAATAACCAGCGTGAGCCACATGGCTACAAAGGCCCCTGATCTGCTTTCCCCAGTAACAACTGGGCCAAAGGGCAGCCTCCTTACAACACCTAAGTAATCACATAACCCTCCTTGTCCAGAGGAATCCTAACCGCCCCCACACACACCCACACACCCACACACACACACACACACACACACACACACACCTCTCTCATCTGCAGAATTCCGGGATTACAGATTAGGGAAACATTTCACAACTTCTCCAAATGCGACGGAACTGCCGGCCGAGAGCCGATCCGGGCTCCTGCAGGGCCACGTGTTCTGACGGGACAGGAGCCCCGAAGGGATGCCCGCAGTCACGGATTGGGCAACTGAAATCCTGCTTACCTGCCGCCATGCCAAGACGACAACATGCCGTTTATTCACAAGAACTTCAACTCTTTCAGCTCTTGGGGGGGGGCGGGGGGAGAAGGATGAAAAAGTAGTGCTTCCGACCGGCCCTGGGGCAGCAAGCCGCTGCGTTTCTGGGAAGAGTGTAGAACTGATACTTACACCCATTTTTGACAGCATCCTAAGGCAATTACTGCTACATAAACTTGAGCCTATTTGATATTTTCATAATATGCAGCACTGGTTGAAAAAGCACAGTTTTGTCGTACGTGTTCACTGTTCAGTGACAAAGCTGTCTTCTATTCCATCTCGATTTGTTTTATTAAAGATGGATTTTTCACCCTAGGCTGAGGCAGACTAACAGCCAGCACCCCAGGGGACTGGGTTCGATTTTCACTGCTCCCCCAGGCGGGGAACAGCATGGCACTGGTGGACTGCAGGCGTGTCCCGTCAGCGGCCGCAACTCTGACAGGACAGATGAAAAGCTGGCAGCTTCTGGGGACACCCGCGAGCCACACAGCTAGCCCAGGCTCCGCCCGATAACGGGAGCGGGACTGCAGTTCACTTCTGGCCGGAGGTACACGTTTGTGCGAGTCCACTCCCATGTGATCACAGTGCAGTAACAAAACCAGATCCTCGCTCCACTGGCTCCCTGTTCCCCCTTCTGGCCAACCGCTGAACTGCAACAGGTGACAGAAAGCTTAGCCAAGAAACGGGGGGTGGGGGGTATTATCCGATTACAGCCAAACGCTTTTTTTTCCTTCTTCCCAGGCCACTTGTTATTAATACATAATGATCCTACTGTTCGTAACCCTGGTTTCCGACCGTATACATCACTGTCCCCCAGGGTGGAAACATGTTGTCCGAAGGGACCGACCATCACACCACGACGCAAAGTTCCTCAGCCTGGGGAATTTCCACAACCTTCTGCTGGGGGGGGGGGGGGGGCTTTGGGTGCTCAGACCAGCAGTAGTGAACCACAGCCAGCCTGTACAAAAACACGTTTACACCGTAACACCGAACGTCTAGTGAGTACACCACACTCACGACCTTCACAGGGTACTGTACTAGCAGAACTGAGTGACGTGCGGGGCTTACTGCTCTGCGGCACAAAACTACGATCACAGTGAAATGAGCAGGCACACTTAAATGGCTTATATGATCGATACATAAAGTTAAATCCAGTCACACAACTAGGGAAATGATTTGTATACAAGCAAAGTCATTACAATAAATTACACCAAAAGGCCCTTCGACTCTGCCCACATTAAACAAGAATAATTTGCATTATACAGCCATAAAGCAACACACCTTCTACTAAAACTCTACACGTGCTTAAACATCAGGCCAATCAGATATGATGAGTAAAATAAAACCAGCACTGTATGTGACAGGACACATGGCATGGAGAGTGACAGCAAAGCCGGTCAGGCCCAGGGACAGGTGACGAGAAACGGGGTCAGAAGGACCCCCACGCCAGCCAATCAGGGGACACAGACACGCCCCCCCCAACCCCGACGGCCGTGTCAACTCAATGGCATATGTGCAGTGGTACCATATTGGGCCTTGCTGTCACTCTCCATGCCATGTGTCCTGTCACATACTAGTGCTGGTTTTATTTTACTCATTTGGACACCCAACATGAGACAGGGCAGATGCTAAACTTTGCAGGATATTCGGACCCTGTTAACACGGCCCAGAGGGGACCCCAGGTTTAATCGGGACCCCCCAGGGCAGACGGATACATACGGAGGCCTCTGTAGGCTTGGACTCCGCAGACCCACGGATGAGACACCCTTCCCTTCTCGGCCGGACAAGAAAGGTGCAGAGGGCTTTTGTGAAATTTAACCACTAACCCAGAGATAAATATAACAAGGTCAAGTTCAGGGGCTAATGGTAGCAGAGTGATATATAAACTAGAAAAGGCACACTTTAACCCTGCGCGATCACGCAAGCACGATCCGGGCCTCTAAAGCCGACCGCATTCGGGATTAGGGACGGCTCATCGCTCTGGGAAGACGTCTTACTACACTAGAGGAGTGTCATTATATTTAACTGGGCAATGACTCATTAACCGTGACTGAACGCGACGCTGAACACGAAGTATGTGCAGTCGGGGGCTGGCCACGTCTCCTGGGCCATCAGGAGCATATCTGCCAGGAACCAAAGAGCCTCTGTCCTGCCGAGAGATGTACTCCACCAAGATTGTTTGGGTTATTATTTAAAGAAGAAGAAAGCAGCTGTTACGGTGATAAAGCGTTCCCACAGCTGTAAAAGGTGATTAAGTGTTCTCAGGTGCGGCACAAGCACACAAACCGCTGGCTCAGTTCCAGATTCAGCCTCAAACTGCATTACACAGTTTCTATTTACGGTCTCAAACAACCTTTACCCTTGTTTTGTAAACCCCATTACCCTGAACATCCACAGCTATTAATACTCGACGTATCAGTCTTATCAACAACGCAATAAAATATGATATCAACAGAAATACGATCAGGACAATAACATTCACTTCCTATAAGCTGATCGGGAATCCTCCCATCTGAAGAGCTTGCCCACGATTCAGAATATTTTGAGGTTTTTGGACGATTAATGCGTGTAAAGCGTAGCTTACATACTGGCATCCCCGGAACCCCCCCCAATTAGACCAGCCCCCCGCCCCCCCACCCAAATTCTGGCCTGGTCTCATTGAGAATCCGATCCCTGGTTTAAGACGGGTTTGGAAACCCCTGAACTAAAAGACTGAAACAAATCCCTTCAATACTTATCCAGGAAGGGAGATTCCGGATCACTGTAGTCAAGCTTGGTCAAAGTGGGTTCACGTCCACGATGAAGACTGCCGTCTCCATGGGGACCACAAACCTGCTAAAAGAGTCCGTACTCCTGCCGATGACATCGCTGCTCGACAGCTCCATGTCCCGGGTCCGGACGGGGGGCAGAGGGCGGATCTGTGGGAGACCACTTGAGAGGTCTGGCTGGGGCACGGTCCGGGAACTCCCGTCGCTGCTCATCTTCTTCACCTGGGTGGGGTTCAGAGAAAGATTCATGTCTGACACATGAAACCATTTCCCAGTCAGGCGGACAGAACAGCAAAGAGCCCAACCCAAATCGACGCGTTCAGAGGATTGACCAAGTTACGAGAACCTGCGAGCGATATCGCACACTTCAAGAAAAGACTCTGGTTGCCATACGGTGGGGGGTCCAACCCAGGTCTCACGGTACCTTCCAGAAAATGGGCTGTGACTGTGGTGTGTGACTGTCCGTAGAGTGACAGAAAAAACTGATCTTTATAACCACCACATCGATGTCCATCTTCATTTTGATCGCCGACTGTTTTCTTGCCATTTTTGTGGCGTCCGCGGTACAGAATTTCTGAAACGAGCCACTCAACTACGGTCCATTTCAAGGGATAAACACCAACAGCGGCTCCAGAGAACAGTGTTCCTCGTTGGCACCCTAACAGCCGCGTGACGAAGGTCACGAAAGGCCCTGTCAAAAGACGTCAATGGAACAAAGCCGACTCAGCTAATGGCACCAGGGGGCTGTTAATTAGGCCAAACGGAGAAATCAGTACGGACCCCATTTTGGTCCATTTGCTTTCCAAAGTCCACTGACATGAAAAAAGGTCCAAGGCCAAAAAAAAAGAGAGAAAATACCAAAGCAGCACTAAGAAACAACCCCACGGATGGAAGGATTAAATTTTCATCATATTCATTTATCTGATGCTTTTATCCAAGGCGACTTAAGTAGAGGGAAGGGGTAGAACTTAGCTGCACTCCTTGGGATTCGAACCCACGACCCTTGGGTCTGTTACTCTACTTGTTGAGCTACAGGAATAGGTGAAGACGGTAAAGACTAGTTTAAGGCTGGAAAGCCGCCAGAGAGATTCTACCCAGAAAAAAAACAGCAATTACTAGAAAGAGAAAAGGCAGAGTAAATAAATTATATATATTTAAAATAATCAGCATAAACATATTCACACAAAACATCCCTTCACCTTTGGTGATCACTCATCGTGCACAGAGTCACAGTGACACACACACGGCAGTAAATCACCATTTTATGTAATTTTCTGAGTACGTTGTTAAACTGTTTGGACGTGTACCTTCTAGGACACCACAGACCTTCTAAACGGCGAGGCGTCCACCTTCACCGCGGCTTCATAAAACACGTCCCCGGCTATCGAACGTAAACATGCCGACTTCGAATCGATACGGTTGCCATGAGAACAGGACGTTCGCTTTCATCATCTGTTTCCAGAACAAATATGGAAGACAAATAAGGGGGCAGCACCTCCGGCGATGTGGACCGGCACGGGGCTGCCTTACCATTCCAGAAGGGTGCTTTCCGGTAGAGTTTAAAAGTCCAACGGAAAACCAAGACGCGAATGTGACGTTCGGTGCCCGGCCTCGGCCGTCGCCTCCTCCCCTGACAGCAGTAAATCTTCAGCGATCTGCTCGTTTGGAAGGTCATCTGACCAGATTCCACTCCATGAAGGACCCACCGATTGGCTGTATCTAACCCAGTGACCATGATTATCAGCTTCAAACACACAAGCGCCGACGTTCACCGAGCCTGTTCCACATTCTGACACCAAAGCCTTATGACCCTCTACATCAGAACCGGAGACGGCGCCATCTACAATCACATTTATACCACTAGCAGAACTCCACATCTCCTGCCAAAGGAGAGTCCGAGCAGCACATAAACCACCTGTGTGGGACTCCATCTTAGCTCACGTTCCACCACAATGACTGGCCAACAGGCGGCCATATTGCAGCTCATTTCACTTCATCCACTCCACATACAGCTGTGGAAACAATTAAGAGACCACAGCACAATTTTTTTCTGTTTCACTCATTTCTCAATATATGGGTGTGTGTCTGTGAATAGTATATACTTTTTGCAAACTGCACCCTGGTTCTTCCCTGCTTCTCATTAATGAAGGGCTTCTTCCTCGCTTTATGGGACTTCAGTCCTGCTTCTAGTAGCCTGATACAAACTGTCCTAGCAGTGCACTTCACACCTGCACTTAAATGCTTCCCATTCCTTCTGAAGGTCACTTGATGTCATCCTACGATTCATGAGAAACTGTCAGATAAGTTAACGGTCATCTCTGGCATTAGAAAGTCTCTTCCGCCCTCTACCTGACTGGTTTCTGGTCATTCCCAGTGTCTCCTGCTTCACCTTAGTTTTGCTGCGGTCTCATATTTTGAACCAGAAAGCAACCTGCTGCTCAGCGTAGCCTCCTGCCAGCAGAACCAGGATTAAACCAGGATTTAAAAATGCAGATTTGTTTAAAAATAATAAGTGGTCTCAATTTTTTCCATGGCTGTAAACAGGAGTGACACACAAACCAGATAAAAAAAATAATACCTGTTCTCATCCGAATCAATCTCTGCCACCTCAGACCTAAGGTCGCAACCTTGGAGGAACACTGCGATCCAGACTTATCACCATCAAGTTAACATATTTAAACAAGACCTTCGGTATAGAGATTCAACAGACACACCCAGCAGTGCTCACACATTCATCAATACAAAAACAAGACCAAAGCCTGAAACACCACACAGGCAAATACTGTGTATTTGAACAAGAAACATGGTGGGTGCTGTGTGGGCAGTCGTCTCTTAATCAGACTGGCGGGAACAGTGCAGAGTATGAAGCTCCGAAAATCTGATCAAAATGTCAAAGTCACAGCTGGACGAGAAAATGCTAATGTAAACTGTCATTTATCTCATAAAAACCAAATCAAAATATTTTATTTTATACACACGGGATGCTTGCTCAATTCTGTAAACCTGCTGCAAATGTATTCGTCTCGTAACAAAAGACCCTCCATTTTCTTTTTATTTTGCGTCAGAATCTTTTCGACTGACTCGTTCAGTTCTGTTCTTGCCTTTTATCTATTAATCGCAGTTGTAGTCATTGGCCCCCAAAGGGATACTAAACACTGTTTGGTGTTTTATGTTACTAAGGCAGGGTTCTACAAATCTGGACCTCGATTCCAAATCCAATTAAATGTTTTCAGTTCTCCCAGGTAGTTGTTTAATAATTACTGATTCTGATTGGTCAGAGGCTGCACACCTGACTGACAGGTAAAGGAAGGCTGGAAAACCAGCAGTGCTCGGACCGAGGACCGTGATCTGAATAACCCTGCACGAAGGTGTAATTAAAAAGCACCTAATGAGACTGCTTGTCAAAGAATCTTTTAACTTAGAACAGCTCATTTAGAACCTATAATTTGGGTTTCAGTTTATTACTACTTGAAATAAATGTTTTACTTATAACTAATGGTAGTTAACGTGATATTTTTGTAAACAAACGAATAATTATTTTTTATATTAAACCAATAAATCTGCAACACTTTTTACTGAATTAATCACTTAAACACCACACACACACCCACAGATCTTGAGTTAAGAACATCTGACTTATGACAAACTCATACTTAGGAATGGACTACTGTAAAGTCTGTTATATTGAAAATTCGGGATAAATACAATGATTTGTAATAACGAACACGCACTAATTTATGACGCTCGTGAAAACATTGCACTGTTTCGGCTTGAGGTAGAGAACAGTGACATATGTAGTTAATATTATTAGAAATGTATTATTATTATTACTATCATCCATCCATTGTCCAACCCGCTTATCCTACTGGGTCGCGGGGGGGTCCGGAGCCTATCCTGGAACCGATGGGCACGAGGCAGGGAACAACCCTGGATGGGGGGCCAGCCCATCACATGGCATATTATTACTACTACTAAGTACTGTATTTCATCAAACTTACCTAAAAATTTACAAAATTTATTTTGTAATTATTTATTACAAAAGACAAACTTAGGGAATGGGCATGCCTCGGTGTGTGAGTGTGAGAGACAGAATTTGTGCTGTATGTATTTTATGCCTGACAATTACCTTCAGTATGCACCCCCCCTTTTCACAACACCCTGGGAAATGCACCTCCCTAATTTTTACCTTAGGTTGGTGGTCGCTCTGCGCACAGACCTGTCCCCGTCTAATTTGCTGTTTTTCAATCTCAGAGTGGCTGGTCCCGTCTGATCTACCCGTTCAGCCAGTCGTGCAGAGTCTGAATAGTTAATATTATGTGTTTTTCTGTCTCTCTCTCTCTCTCACACACACACACACAAGTTGGTCTTCCTATTTAAATGTGGACCGTCCATTAATTTCTATGGGAAAACCCTAATCCCAATCACGACACCCTTAACCCCTACCCATCCCTAACCTTAACCATAAGTAACCAAACAAAATACGAAACTTTTGGAATTTTTAGTTTTTTTGACTGCAGTCAGACTTTTATAAAACTGAGTTTGAGGTAAATATGAACAATTTTCGTGACTAAATTAGGCCACGGTGCTCCGAAACATCATGATGGTTGTCCGACCTTGTGGGACAGGCTCCAAACTGCCCCCCCCCCCCATACCAGATAAGCAGCTGGGAGAGGGGATTATGTAATACAGGGTCCCCACACCATTAGCGGCAGACAGGCCTGAAGACTCAGCAGAGGTTCCATCTGATCTTATCTTCTGCCGAAATCCACGTTGTTGGTGTAAACATGACAGGTTGGTGGTAAGTGGGTTACCTCCCGCTTCCTCAGGGGAGACGTGCTGCTTTCGCCAGCCAGCCCTCTTGGCGAATCGCTGTCTGACACACTGCTCTGCACACCCTGAAAGCGAGGGGTGAGGGAGGTCACAGCGGGCATTGCAATAGGGGCCTTTCCCAGTGGTGACATCACGCTACCGACCACAGCATTGGAACCAGCAACCTTCTGTTCACGGGCACGTCGTCTCAACTCGCTGAACCACATAAGGAAACACATGACAGAGAGTCCCGGCATCAAGGCCGTCTGAGAGCCCACCTTCGTCCGAGGGACCGGGGTCGGCACGTCCTTAGCGGGCTGGCCGGGCAGGACATCCTCTGGAAGCGGGCTTTCCGCGGCCTCCTGGGGGAGGGGCTGAAACAGGTACAGGTTTGCTGCTACCTGACTCATTGATTTCCCATGCCCTCCCTCCCCACCCCCAGCTGCACAGAAAGCCAGTCACCTCAATTACCTGATTAGCCAAAGCCGTCAAAACTCAAGACTCAACAGAATGAGGATATTGCAGGGCTGGGTGCCCATCCAAGGACACACCTGGAGCCTTCACCAGCCACCTTAAAGCTTTGGAGAAGCCCCCCCCCAGCAGAGGTACGACGTAACACTATCCCTTCCGTAAGCTCCCGGGAACGTTGTAATTAGTCACACGGCACCGCTCACAGCCTTTGAGGAAAGGCACGTTTTAGCCAATTAAATTAATTAAATGAATAACCCTACGTTGTTACGTCCATTAGCCGAGCTTTGGGGTACTGGCACGCTCACCTTAACCTCGAGGACTGCAGGAAGCCCTCCGGCGGGGGCTCCGGGGTTCACGGCGTCACCCTCAAAGATGTTCTGCTGGTCCCGGATCAGAAGGGCCATGACTTTGTTGCAGACGGTCTGGTCCTTCATTCCGTCGAAGCCTGGAGGGACGCTGGGCAACGCAAGTAGGAATAATAATAATAAAAAAAACGGCATCAGGATGGGGGGGTGGGGGGGGGCACAAAGATTACAAAGAGACAAATTAGCCCAAATTTTGCACATTCCTTTTTGGCATGTGACACTTCCAGATTTAACCCCCCCCACCAAGCATGTTGTGCAAATGCAGATAGCCAGCAAGGCTAATTTTATGCCTCCCCACCCCCCCCCCAGTAGGGTACATCACATATTGCTGCATCATCTAGTTTGAACAGATCACTCGGCCCTCATGACCCGGTTATCAGTGTCTTGGGGGGTGGGGGGTGGGGGGTGGTGTGCTCAGATTTGGCCGACTTCTGCACAGAGTAGCGGAGGTGTAAATGTCAGCTGACGACCGGGACCAGAACACACCTGGGAGCCCATTCTGCTCTCAGAGTGAAAACAAACAGTGTCAAAGCGAAAGTGCAGGATGTCCATCCAAGGATGAGACACTTTGGATTTGAACCAGAGACTCTGTGATCATGACCACAGTGTCCTAACCTGCAGAGGCAAACAAATATGTTTATCCTCCCTTCTAGTAAAGGCTCTAAAGCGACAGGGAAGGACAGGTTCAGTTCTTAGCAGGTATGAGGAGTGTTGACAAAATATAATCGATTTAAAACCCTCATCCATCCAATCAATAAAGTATTGATTATTATTATTAACTTCTAACTGCTTATCCTGGCCACGGACCCCAGGTACCCGTTTGAGGCAGCAGAAAGCAGAGGGACACCTTGAACAGGCTGCCACTCCGTCAGAGGGCAAACAGACACAATCAAACACTGCAGCCAATTCGTGGATGACGGGGATTTTCAGACTTCCATTGGATGGAAACTGCCGTTTCAGTACTGGCTGCACAATAGCCCCACCTGCTGGCCAAGCCCTCAAGTAAACGAGGATCGAAAAAGAAACAAGTCCTCGCATATCGCATTCGGATTGAACCCAAATTAATCAGAGACCGTCGTCAAAATCCACAATGAGCGAGAGGGCAGGCTCTGCGTGTGCGGGCTGGGGGGCATGCAGGCCCGTACCCTGGACAATTCATAGTCAGCGCACACAGTCACATTGTGTGCCAGAGCAATGCAGTGCACATTTGGAATGGCAGCTGTCACACCGGGTCTCTCCCAATCAATGCCGGCATGGCTCTGGAAGCTGAAAGGGGGGGGGGGGTGTTAATGGACATTGCTGCCCCGTGGCCACAGCGACAGCTGGAAAAGCCGTACTGAGGATCAAGCATACCAGCCTGCCGTTTACACATCAGAACCTTCCAGAAAGGCGTGCTCTAGTACTGACAATGCAGAATATTCTGATGATTCTAGCTACATAGCTTAATCATGGGTCCAATGGCGAGGCGTCCTCTCGAAAACGCGGCAGGCTACCCTGGGAACTCACTGGAAGACGTTGGGCCCGAACACGGTGGCCAGGTTGAGGGCCGTCATGCGGTTCTGCTCATGGCGCTCGGCCACCTGGGACAGGAAGTGGCACAGGTACTTCAGCAGGCCGTAGTGGACCCCGGGCAGCTGGCGGAGGCGAAGTCGGAGGGCGTGGCCAAACTGCTCCTCGCCGCACTCTGCGGGTCAGATACACAGCATCATGACAAGAAAGGTGTGCATGTGTGTAACACAACAGCTGTAGGACCCCCAAAGACACAGTTCATTGTTTATTTCTTTATCGAATCGTGTTTAACATTCTTGTAAATTGTTTTCTTTATTGAGCAATTTTGTTTGTTTGGTATGTATTTATAAATCGGGTGAGATCCCTTGAAGAACGCAAGCAGATTGTGCTCATGCGCTTCTACGTTATAAAGGGGAAAAATTTAGTTATTAAATGACTTTTGATGTAAAGGTGAGGGCTTAAGAGTCACGTGGTTTTCTGAAGTGATTATACTCACAGGAGTGGAAATCAGGGTTGGGGGCATTCCGGAATGCTTTTATCTATTCCAATCCAAATCAGGAAATGGAGATGGAGTTAGGATTGGGGGAAAAAAAAACCAATGGGGAACAGAACTGGAATTGAATTTGAATTTCAGGGAGATTTAAATTCCAACTCCAGTTTCATTTGGATTGCAATTGATGAATGCATTCCAGAATGGCCCCAACCCTGTTGGAAAAATTGAATTATTTACTGAAAGGATATGTGAATGTCTGAATGTGAAAATTAAGCCATTTTCTTTAAAAAAAAGAATCAGCGTTGGAAAAATGTCATTGTTTTACTTTTGAGCGCAAGCACAAGTTTATAGCAGCGACATTTATGGGTTAAGAACGTTGTGGAGTTTACATTAGCTCAAACTCATGCAGACAGAACAAAACAGAGTTATCACATCTAGAGTGAAAACAAAACAAAATCTATTTACATTTCAAAACAAGCCAGTATGTCTCCTATCACTGTGAAGGCCACAGGACATGTGAACTCCAACCCCAACAACAGTGCAATGAGTACCGACACAGAACAAGCAAGACATAAACAAACCAACACGTGTCTGCAGTGACCTTCCCCGCGCAGAGCAGAGCAATGCTGTACAGACACATTAACCCACCATCAGCACCAAGATGTTTTGATTTGACCTCCAGGTAAACAGTGCGCTGCAATCACCCCCCTCCCCCCAAAGTCAAAACCTGTGATACAAGGTCAAGGTCACATTTATTTCAGCCCCGTTTCTAATGCTAGGGAGTAGCAAACAAACATGACACCAGGGATGCACCGAATATTCGGCCACCGAAAATTTTCGGCTGAAAATGGCCCAAAAGTGCATTTTCGGTTTTCGGCCGAAAGATTTTTATCACCGAAAAACACGGCCGAAACAGTATGTTTTGATGACGCAAACAGAAACCGGGGCCTGCACGTGCTTGTCTGAAGCAGCATGTCTGCGGTGTGGACGTATTTCAATATATCTGAGAAAGACCCACGGATAGCGATTTGCAAAACACGTAATGCCGAAATTTCAACAGCGTCTGCAAAGACTTTCTCCACGTCGGGTTTAATTTACCACCTGAAATCCAAACATCCCGATCGCCATGCTGGATACGAGAGTGCGGTTAAGTTAAACATTTAAGTTTGAATTTTATTTTATTTTATACTGTGCATTGTTGCAATGTGCTAAATAAATATTTTCATAATTTGTAACTGATTTATTCTTTGAAACTTTAATATTAATTTATGCAATCGCAATGCTTTGATTTTAGTAAGGTGAGTACACAGTCATAGCCATAAATGCAATGGTACTAATTATTGCCATAATTTCTTTCGGTGTTTCGGTTTTCGGCCTTCGTTTCCTCTTTTTTGGTTTTCGGTTTCGGCCAAGAATTTTCATTTCGGTGCATCCCTACATGACACCCCTCCACATGTAGAGTGACACTGCATAACACTGACAATAATAATATATAAAATGTTTTGTATATGCATGTATGTATATAAGATATAAAACTTAAAAATGTTCGTCTTTCGGCATTTTATATTTCTATATACCTAGTATAATACATAATATTTTCCCTATTTATACGGCAGTTGGTGAATCTGCCAGAAGAAGCATTTCACTGTTGTACTGCATTTGTCAAATAGAAACTTTGAACTTTGATATACAGGCGATATGGGACAGTGGGGGGGGGGGGTTGGGGGCAGACTGACAAGTAGATTGATATGCAGGCAGTTCTCAGCCGACACCAAGTACTAATCAAGTACAAACCCTTAGCCAAGTCAAGTTTTACACAAGTCAAATTCCAAGTGCCTTATAGCACAAAATGCATAAGCAAAAAATATATTAGTAATATATACTAAAGGACATGTTAAAAACAAAAAGAATGTACATGCAAAGATCACCTTTTTATGTTAGCAATTCCATGAATTATGTATCTTGGATAAGTCCGGATTTAAATAAGTTGGCTTTACATAAACTGAGAGCTTCCTGAACTGAAGAAAGCCACCCACATGACCTACAGTGCAGTGCTCTAAACGCACAGCAGAGGGCAGTGTGAACACACCAACCGGACCTCCGAAGCCTCACTCCAACCTCACAAAAACCCTGGCGCCACCTTCAGGCTCACCCTGGTACAGCTGCAGGAGCTCCTCCTGGACGCTGCAGGTGACGACGCCCCCTGGCAGCTCCCTCAGGAACTGCTTCAGCAGGCTGGCCACCGTGCACACGTCTGCCTCCTGGAGGAGGTCCACCTCCTCCCCGCTCTCCAGCCGCTGCCGGAGGCGCTCCACCATCCGCACATTCCCATTGACCCGGAACAGACCCTCCTGCTCCAGAGCTGGGGGTAGGCAGGCAAGACCAACCACTCACAAAAAAGACAAATAGCTACAGCTACCTCATGCTATCAAAAGTAAATACATTGAGCAATAAAGAGCTTAAAAGGCCCAACACTGCCATCTAGTGGCCAAATATCAACCAGCAGCTGATCTGCCAGACTACTGGTGTTTTCCTGTATAGAAGCTCCTCCACAGACGATGGCGTTACATTCCGATAAACCCAATCTAAGTTGAAAGCATTGCAAGTCGAATATGAATACAAGATGACATTTGGGCATCGATAACGAGTTTTGGAAAATTATCTTAAACATGAACAAACAAAAACAGTACGATACATTATTAAATGCAGTGCGAGACGTTTGCAGCGATCGCGGCAGACACTGGAAGCGTGGCTGCGGCGACCCGCCTGGCCATCAGCAGAAAGTATCGTACGGCATATCGCTAGCCCGGGAGCAGATCAAAATTAAAAGGCCGAAGACTACTGATTGTGCATCTCCGTCGCAGCAAGTCGAGCCATTGTAAAGGGAGGAGCGACTGTACAGAGAAATATGACCTTCAGGAACTATTGTCATCAGGACTTTCCAGAAGGCTGGTTGTACTGTAACACCACAAAGACACCTTCTGCATGAAGAACCCACTAATCCAAATGGACAGACCCTGGAAGGACACTGCACGTGGAAACGTTCTCCATTTTTTTTTCCAGTGACATTTATTCGTGGATTAAGTTTATTAACATCAACTGGGGGAAATGAGGGAGAACTTGAAACTGATTCTGCTGCCTTGGCAGAACACAAGCACAGTGACGGATCCATTTTTCAGCAACCATGGCAACCAGTGAAATACATAAAAATTCAGTGTTACAAAGGAGAAGGGGCACATTAGGATGCAGAGGACGTGTCTGGCCGTTACTGACCGTGCTCTCGGAGGAACTCCACCATGCTGCTGAGGACCAGGGGCACGCCGGCAGCCCCCAGGCCCAGCTCTCCGAGTTCTGGCAAGGGCACGCTGAACAGCCTTCTCCCTGCGCCGGGGGGCCTCTGCTTCAACATGGGCAGCTGCACCATCTTCTTCACATCCTCCCTGATCTGCACGGCCGCCCTGTTGTGCTTCCGGAAGCACAGGAGAGGCGCACAGTCAACCACGGGGACCGTCGCCATCGACGGGAGCCGCAAGGCGGCCCGGTGGCCCGTTTGGCAAACTGGACCCAAGGGGCAACCCACTTAAAAACTTTCAGGCAATTTCCCTGGACGCCCACAGTGGAACACCGAGTTCTGGAAGTCAGGAAGGGGAGGGGCCTGCCCCACACCACCGTAACTAACACAGACTCCGGTTACCTGGCGCTCGTATCTAGGGGCGTGTCTTTAAGGGCTTGAATCGGAACGCACACATGGCAGTGGGCTATCACAGCACAAAGGTGACCAGGGGCATTAAAGCGGCAAAGCTCTCCTAATGTGAATTTTTCGACTTGACATTTTATATTTGCCTGAGCGTCCATCCAAACTGCCCTGGCAGGGTATGGTCGGCAAATCAGCAAATGCAGAAATAAAACCCATTTCTACTTTTCCTACAACATCCTCCATCTTCCCATCTATGAGGTGGCTTGATTACTGCAAAAAACCCTCCTGACATCTCGCCCCTGCTCTTTCGGTATGTTGTTCATTTCCATTCCCACTGGCTCTGTACAGCGTCAGACCTCCCAAGACCTCCAGTAACCCCTGAAGAGGGATTAATGACAATGGTCACACGTTTCATAACATAATTTTATCTATCATGATTTATTAAACTTTGCAGCGATCCATCCATCCATCCATCACCTACTTTTCCTATTCAGGGTTGCGAGGGTCCAGAGACTATCCTGGAAACTATGGGTGCATGGCAAGGAACAACCCAGGGTGGGGCACCAACCCATCGCAGCACACACGCAGACGCACACCATTCACACATACAGACAATCTGGCAACCCCAACTCACCTCAGCATGTTTTTGGATGGGGGGGGGGGGCCTGAGAACCTGTAGGATACTCCACAACGACACAGGGAGGGCAATGAAACTCCAGACGCAGCGACTTGAACCCTGGCCCAGCAGGTGCAAAGTGACAGTGCCAACCACTGTGCCACTGCATCACTGCACCACCCCTACAAGCTTAATACATGAGCTCTGACACAGTCATGTAAAATTTCCTAATTAGAGAAACGAGGCCCGGGATAAGTGACAGAGGAGATCGTATACGACGGCCCACAGCCAACCAATGAGGCCATACCCGAGTGAAACTCCTCGCCCAATGACTTGCCCGGTGTCACACGTCCTCGCGCTCTGGTCACATCACCAAAGATTGGGGAAGGATGGCGACACCATGGGAAGAGGCATGCATTTACACTTCCACTGTGGGGTCACGCCCTGCACAGAGCGCTAAGCTGGGACAAGACAGACCCCGACCATCCCTCCCAGACCCCCAGGGCCCATGACAAGCTTGTCTTTACACACTACCCCTGCGGGAGAGTGACTAAGCACTCCTACTGCAGGGCCATTAAATGACAATCGGAGAATCATCAGAATACCAAGGAAAGTCATCTTCACTTTAAGATACATAACTCTTTCTATATCCGATTTTTATATAGATTTTAAATAAAGACACACATGCACACCAACGTCATTTTATATTTTCCTCTGTATAGAGTCTAAATATGTGCTGGTACAATAATGTTTATTTATTATTATTGCTGGTGCTATTATCAATATTTCTTTTTGTGAGACGCTTTATTACGAGAATCGTACAAGCGAGGCAGGTACAGCACAGCTATTATCAGCGAGTGTATTGTTAAAACGCTGGACTTTGCACACAGCGAATGTTTAATGTTCTCAGCACCTGAACGTCCTGTTATAATAACAGAGTCAGGCATAACGACTATTTCGTCGACAGGGCTGCTAAAAAAAATAACAGAAAAAAAACGAATCCCACCTTGTCCCAATTAATCTAAAAGCAGACTTTTGTGCTCACGCGGGAGGATTTCAGAGTGTGTTAAGATAGTCTGAGCCTCCATTGCAATGACAAGCGCTGCGCAGACAGATGCCCCCTCAATCTGTCCACTTAGCCAGCCCCCCCGCCCCAAGATCCGGGCAGCGTCGCTTGTTCTCGATGACACCTCTGTTCACACAGATAGCGTGAAGGGGCTGCTGTGCTTAAAACCACTTACTCTCCAACAAGACATCAATCACGCGGACATCGCCCCAATAAACTGTCCCCGGCTGACAAAAAAAAAATGTTTGCAAGGGGGGTGGGTGCACGCGCAGTCATAGGGAGAATGCGGCTCGTCTGCTTCAAGATCCGACTTGTTTGCTCCCCCGTCGTGGGTGGCCCAGGACACGGCATGAAGCGCAGCCTGCGACAATAACGTACGCAAAGTGCGCAAGCAGCGCAGGACCCCTCAACACAATTGCTAAGCATATAACTTAGAGAGCAAAAACATTCCCAATGCCAACATTAATATGGCAAAGGGATTTCTACATATTTTACCGATTAATCTGTAAACGTACAGTATGGGACTCATCTGTTCTCATTTGTAATAATCCGTTTTTTATTGGTTTATTCTATATGGGAGTGAAGAAAGCGTACATCCCTGTTGTACTTATACCGCTGATGGAAACTAATGAAGTGCTATTTATGTCTAGCATTAAATATCCCGCCCTAGGCACCGTAGCAACAGGTCTACAAAACACTCCCTGCTTTAAGGATGGCAGCGCCAATTTCACTCACCTCCGTTACATTTATTCGTACTTTTCAAGACTTAAAAAAAGCTTTAGAAGGGAAAACGCAAAAAGAGTCGGTTCGTAACCGCGGTGACTTCGTAAGGGTTCAACATTTTTTCCCGAATTTGTCTACAGGAAGTTTTGATCAGCACAAATATCCATAAATGGATACTTTTGTTAAATGTTTGTTTTTGCCCCTTTCAATTGCGTGATTCAACAAGATAGTGTAACGGACGCTTATAAAGGTTTGGTGACCGTGACAGAGTTGGTTAACTGTTTTAACCTTACACAATATTAAGATGATTTAAAAAACGGATCAAATGGCCTAGTTAACATCCAAAATAAGGCTGAAACATGTCTGAAGTAATGTTTTTAGTTTAAGTTTTGTGCTTGATGGGGGGAAAAGCGCACCAACGCACCCATAAAAGCCGGAGAAAAGCGGAAACTAGCATGACCACACACGTATGCAAAGGGAGACACCGCGGGACGCGCAGCATAAAGCCGCTAAATCACGGGCAGTAAAGCGCCCACCACTACTCACACAGATAGTCAGCGCTCCGGCCCCCATGCTTCCAGGAAGAAGCCGCGGAAAAGGGATGCAGCGGCCGCTCCGGGTAGCGCTTCACCTTCTAACCCATTGACGGGAAGATACCTCAGGCTGGGAAGACGATAAATACAGCATGCGAAACTTGGGGCTGCCCCAAGGGCGTCGGGAGCGTAGGAAGCGGCCGGAGACGCCGTCACGCATTATTCACTACTCCAGGCTGAAATCTGAGCCCCGAGCTCCCATAGGCTGCCGTGCTGGGTCATGTGACCCTCTGGATGAAACTTTCAAAGCGGGATTTGATGCATATTTTAAAATCTGGATGGATGGTCGCTGTGTACTGCTGTAAACACTGTTTGTTAAGTTTCAACGTACAAGTTTTCAGTGCAATGTATAATAATAAATTTTGTGTATTACTGTATATTCATAATTTGTTGCTTTATCATTTCATATCACGTGTATTTGTCTTTGATAAACCTCTATCCACTTTATCTCCATTTGCGCCGTTACCATTATATACTTCTCTGGTATTTATTATTTATTCTAACATACCATTTATGAAAACTTTGTATTTCTTTCCATTTCTCCTGTCAGTCTATGCGCTTTATTCATTTATGAAGCACCGCAGAATATTATTTCGCGTCACTCTGGAGCGTACTGAAAATGGTTAGTGCGACAATAGTCCCACTTGACTTGACGTCTGTCGCAACGGCAAATGTAAGATATTTAATACTTCTTCAGTTCAGTCATTCCCAAACACATTTTAACTACTGTACTATGCAGCATATTTTACAAAAGGGAAGCACGACCTCAAGAACGATAAAAACCCACTAAAGTCGACAATACAAAAGCAGGTTTTGCTTGGACCAACTGATTAAGTTGAAGTATTAACGTGGGGAGTTCCGTCGGAGGGGGGAAATGGCTCGATCGCCCTTCCTCACTGTTCTTTAGCGACGTCTACCGTCTGCAGGTCTCTCCTACAAGCGCGCTACACCGCTGGCTAAAACCCGAAACCCGAAGAGCAAAGAAACATCCAACAAGTGACCAGAGAATAAAATAAGAATGCAAGGGAAGGATTTTTTGGGAACACATCATATATTAGAAATCCAAAAGGCTAGAGACAGGTCCGGCTAATGCATTAAGCATGTACGAGTCAGCGTGCTGTCTGGCCCTATTATCATTATAAAATATTTTGACATCTTGTCACATTTTTCACAAATTCTGGCATCTTTACAAACTTGAATGTTGTCACAGAATATTACATGTCAAAAAGGAATTGGCAATTAACATCCATCTGTCCACCTTCTACACATTTATCCTGGATAGGGTCACGGGGTACAATTAATAGCAAGTAATTTACAGTTTACACAGGAAACTTATTTTCTGCATGACGAGTTATAACACAGTCAGACAGACGTCTGCACGCCAAAGACGTAATAAAAGGTGCCTGGTTTCCTTTCCCCGGCGCAGTCCATCTTATTCCGGAGAGTGATTTATGTTCGGCTTCTGCTCATAGATGAACTGCTTTATCTGGTCGCGGATCCAGGGGGAGAAGGCGGAGACGCGGGTGAACACGGACGGCTTTTTGTCCTTGGCGCAGCCCCTGGCCCCGAAGCTTACAATTCCTTGGATTTGCCAGCTCGCATCGGGGCCCTCGGCTTTGTAGACCAGCGGTCCCCCGGAGTCGCCCTGGGGAGGGGGTTAGGAAATTGGAGAGAAACTATGAGAAACACACACGCGGCTTTGGCAAGAAGGGAAGTCGTCCGGCCATTCGCGGCCAGCCTGAGGAGGGCGCTGTTTCCCAGCGCAACAGAAGGGTTAACGGTGAACAAAGATTTTGTCTCAGAACACCTATGTACTTTTAATGCTGAATTCAGAAATTCACTGCATGCACAATTTTGCTATCACCCATAATTTAGGCTAAAATGATAGTATATAATTCCTTATTATGAACGTGTGGGTTTGCTTTAGGAAAAATTATTTTATTTCTATTTGTGAATATTTTCAAGACTTTGCAGAAGCACATAAAGTACTATACATAAGTCTTTTTTAGTTAGTCAGCAGTAAGTCTGTTTTGCCAGAGTTTGTAGGCTGTAACACATTCTTTTCTCTCTCTGATATGAAAACACGATATCAAGTCAAGTGGAGTCCCAGTGTGCTTGCTTGCTGACTTCTGCTGGAGCCTTAAGGTGGATGTTCCTGAGGTTAAGTACAGCAGAAAGTCACACAATTCTACCTTTAAGATGAGTCACTTTCACCATACACATGTACTGGAAATATATGTGAAGCCTAAATATAACTGTGTCTCATTCGAAATTCTTGCATGATAGGGAAATTCTGATGAGATATTTCGATTCAGTGCAAAATAACAAAGCGTATTTTGCAAAGTAAAAATTTATTGGACTGTATCATTGAGCCAAACAAGGAGGGACCATGTAGCAATGGCAGACACAGAGCCCCGCCCCTCGCTGAGCGGACACAGAGCCCCGCCCCTCGCTGAGCGGACACAGAGCCCCGCCCCTAGCTGAGAAGACACAGAGCCCCGCCCCTAGCTGAGATGACGCAGAGCCCCGCCCCTCGCTGAGAAGACAAAGACACAGAGCCCCGCCCCTAGCTGAGATGACACAAAGCCCCGCCCCTAGCTGAGAAGACACAGAGACAGAGCCCCGCCCCTCGCTGAGAAGACAAAGACACAGAGCCCCGCCCCTAGCTGAGAAGATAGACACAGAGCCCCGCCCCTCGCTGAGAAG